TCTCCAGTTCCCATGGAGGTATCAAAAGCCAAGCCCCTGTTTGCTAATACCCATCCCATTTCTTTTCTTCTCTCCTAGACAACATTAGCATCAACCTTTATCCTTACCATTCTGATTTTCAGATTTGGCCTCATCTCTGGCACTGGGAGATTTCTTTCTTTCTCACAAGTTCAGCCATGCATAGGTATTTTTGTTGTATTTTATACAGCTTTTTAGATACTTATAGCAGGAAAGGTTTGTTTTGTTTTTGTTTTCATCTTACTGGAATCAGAGAATTCAGATAAGATTATAAGTATTTAAAAATAAGATAGTATACCGTGGTAATTATAGCTGTAGTTACTAAATGAAAAATATCTTCTAAAACGTAACTTGCTATTAAATGAGTATAAGCTTTCTAAGACTACTAGTTGTTAGATTGCAGTGACGTTTTCCAGACATATGATTTCATTTTTCTCTGGCTACATTAAGGCAGTCATTTTAGTATTCTTTTTATTTAGGATTTATTTGTATCTCATGGTATAAAGAAGGCACACAAGAAATTTGGCCATTAGATGCAGAGATGGATTTTTTATTGTGGTTCCCATGTTAAGAGTAGTGCTTGCCACCAAAATAGCTGGTATTCCCCTGTTTTTCCATATCCGCTATGACTAAAGCCAGTTTTTTTAATACTCCCTTTCTTCTGATCTTTGGAAAATATAATCTGATTGTTGTAGTACATTGGATATAATTAACATGTTAAGTTCACTGTTTCTTTTATGATGTAAAGTTTTGAGTATACATTGTTGTAGTCCTGTTTCCCCTTAGCTGCCATTCTAGAGTAGGATGTTAACTCAATAAAATCAGTGAGAGAGCTGTGTTTTGAATTTCCTGGTGAGATTTGTATCAAAGTCTCAGAAGTAAACCACCTTAAACATGGACCATCATTCCAAAAAATTGAAGAGTTTTAACCTACTCTAAGTGGCAAGGTGAAAAAGAAGTTTTAGCATCTCTTTGAATATCACCTGTTGAGAAAAATCAGTTGCTTAACCTCTTTGCCTTCTCATCCATAATGTAGGAGGAGTAATAAATAGAAGAGTCAATTTTTACTGCCATGTATGTTTTGAGAGTCGCTTATAATTATGAAGTCAGCTCTTTGACGGCAGGTGCTGGAGTCACCTCTAGAATTCATGTGTCATGTGTACGGCATAAGCTGTTCCATTCTTTTATTTCTCTTTTGTTGCACATACTTGGATCATTTTGCTACTCATTTGTGATTAGGTAACAACTACAAAGCAATAAATATCAGTTCTGCTCTTTGTTCCTAGTAAGTTGAATAAGGTAGACAATTTAAGACTTTTGATTAGCTGTTTTAGAATTGTAAGTATAAAGACTTTATACTTATTCTTTGAGCTTTCAGATTGCCCAGTTGTTAATCCTCAAACGTGCAAAGCTCTTTGATGTTTGACTAAGGGCCTTGGCAGTTTTTCCCTCTGCCTAAAAGGCTCTTCCTCGGAAGCAAGGTTGATTCCTTCACTTCATTCAAGTCTTTGTTTAAATGTCATCTCATCAGAAAGACCTTTTCCTCACCATATCTTAGAGAGGGGCTAGGAAGAGTCATGCTAGCACCCTAACCTAATTAATTTTTCATCAAGGCACTTTTCTGTACTGAAAATTAAATATCTATTTGTTATCTTGGTATTGCTTGTTTCCTCTACTAATATGTAAATTTTCTTTTTTTCTTAAGATTTTATTTATTTATTTATTTATTTATTTATTTATTTATTTATTTATTTATCTATCAGAGAGAGAGAGAGAGCTCAAGTAGGCAGAGCAGCAGAGGGAGAGGGAGAAGCAGGCTCCCCGCTGAGCAGGGAGCCCGATGCAGGACTCGATCCCAGGACCCCGGGACAACGACCTGAGCTGAAGGCAGACGCTTAACCAACTGAGCCACCCAGGTGCCCCTAGTATGTAAATTTCTTGAGCTCAATGAACTTGTTCACAGTTCTGTTCCTAGGAATAAGAACATTATTTGGCCCAGAGTAGGTGCTTAATGAAAATCTATTGCTTGACCCAGTGTATGTGTTACAAACTTGTGGTCTGTGGGTGGAATCGAGTCCATATATATTTTTTGTTTGAGCATCCATCTTTGTATTTTACTCTTTTTAAAAGTTATTTGATAATATTTCAAAATGCTAGATTTTTTATTTTCCTTGAAAAATTTTAACTCCTAAACCTGGGTATTTACTTTTGTGGGGCAACAATTAGCTGGACTGAGCACTGGGCTACTCCCTTTATAAGAGATCTACATTCTCTAGTTTGTTAGTCTTTAAGATCTCTTTCTATAGAATCTTGGACAATGAGACTTACACCATTTGCTGTTTATCATTTTGCCTGCTCTGTTATGTTTTCTTAGACTTGGCCCATTCTACTTATTTATGTCACCTGCCTGATCCCTGTAGGCATTTGAGGTAACAAACTCTGTTGCAAGTCATGGTATTTATAATTCCTGTGCGGTTACACTTTTCAGATTTAAATTTAAATGTATAAAATGGGTAAAGATGATAGAAGTTGTGACTGTTATTGAAGGAGCTGTACATTGAATTTATAAAACCTCTGTGTTACAAAAATGAACTCCCTTTAGGCCAATGAACACATGAAAAAAAGCTCCACATCATTAGTCATTTGGGAAATGTACATCAAAACCACAATGAGGTACCATTTCACACCCACAAGCATGACTTTAATAAAAAACACATACAATAACAAGTATTGGTGGGGCTGTGGAGAAATTGGAAGCCTCATACATTGCAGTTGGAAATGTAAAATGGTGCAGCTACTTTGGAAAATAGTCTGGCAGTTCCTCGAAAAGTTAAACATAGAGTTACTATTACTACATTACAGTTTCCCATGAAAACTTGTACACAAATGTTCATAGCATTAGTCATAATAGCCTAAAATTGGAAATAATCCAAGTGCCCATCAACTAATGAATGGATCAATAAAATGTGGTATATCCATACAATGGAATATTATTCAGCAATAAAAAGGAATGGAATACTCATTTATGCTACAGTGTTAACAAACCTTGAAAACATTATGATGAGTGAAAGAAGTCAATCACAAAAGACCACATATTTGTATAATTCGGGTTTTTTTTTTTTAAAGATTTTATTTATTTGAGAGAGAGAATGAGAGAGAGAGAGAGAGCACATGAGAGGGGGGAGGGTCAGAGGGAGAAGCAGACTCCCCGCTGAGCAGGGAGCCCGATGCGGGACTAGATCCCGGGACTCCAGGATCATGACCTGAGCCGAAGGCAGTCACTTAACCAACTGAGCCACCCAGGCACCCTGTATAATTCGGTTTATATGAAATGTCCAGAATAAGTGAATCGATAGAGATAGAAGATAGTTTAATGGTTGCTATGTGGTAGGGTAGAGAAATGGTGATTGACTGCTAATGAGTATGGAGTATCTAGTAGGAAAGCCAGAATATTCTAAAATTAGATTGTGGTAATGTTGCACAACCTGTGAATTGTATACTTCAAATGAGTGAATTGTGTGGTATGTGAATTATATATCAATAAATGTTTTTTCAAAAGGACTTCTTTTGTTAATCAAAAGCTTTGTGGATTTTCATACCCCAGATCATTAGCCAATCTGTAATCAAATACAATCTAGCAGCAGTGCTAGAAAGAAATAATTATTTAAATTTACCCTCCATTAAAACAATTAAGCTTGCAGATTTGTATTGCCCTATGCCATAGTTAGTATGCTATCTCAGTAGGTCAGCGCTTTCTGTCATGCTTTATCAGCATGGTCTACTCAGTGGCTTTTTTAAGAAATATTTTATTTATTTATTTATTTATTTATTTATTTATTTATTCATTTAAGAAAGAGAGGGAGAGAGAGCGTGCCTGGGTGAGCATGTGCAGATGCAGGGTGGGTGGGGAGGGAGGGTTCCTTCTTTTTTGGTTATCCATAGGTAGATAACAAACCGCCCAGATGTAGTGGCTTTAAACAGAAACACTTACTATTTTTATTATTCTCTCTCATGGTTCTTGAGTTTGACTAGACTCAGCTGTGTGGCTCTTGCTTGGGTATTCTACCATTGTAATTAAAAGGGGGCTGAGGTCATCTTGAAGTCTTCCTCATTCTCATGGGGCTGATGTTGATGCTGACTGTTGGAGGGGACTCAGTTGGACTGTCGGGTAGCCACACTGTCTTTCAAATTTTGCATTCCGTTGAATTTCTGCCTGCTTTTGGTCATTCTGTAGTACCTTCAAATAGTTGTTTTTCATATAGAATTTATGTTATCTGATAGTCCAGTACAGACTACTCCATCATTACCAGTAATGGAACTCCCACTCCTCCTTTTCTTTCCTCCATAGCACTCATCACACTTGGCATTTAATATAATTTATTAACTTATTTATTTGGTTTATTTTGTGTCTCCTTCTACCAAAATGCGGGCTCCATTAGAGTTTTGTCTCTTTAGTAACTGCTGGGAACAATAGTAGATGCTCCACAAATATTTGTTGAATATTTCAACTCTTCAAAATAGCTAGAAGTAAACAAAATCATCTTGATGATTGAAGAGGGACTATTATAGAGCCTTATTCTTTCAACACTGTTGTACTGGTAGACTAGCATATCTGAGGTTTACATCTCCTTGGCTTAAGAGCGGGTTATAGAGATTCTGACATTTCATTTTCATCATGACTGCCTTGGGAGTCAATTTAGCAGGTGAGAGCTGGTTACAGATCAAATGCAATTAGCGTGTGGAAGTACTATATGAAGTATAAAGTGCTATGAGATTATAAAGCATTTTCAGATAATTCCATGCAGTTGCATCTCTTAGTCTGGTCTTTCCAGATTTCATTTCGAAAGTGTTTTTGAGTTTGTGTATTTTTAAGCGATGAATATTTTTACTTACCAGAACAGTAATAAAAGTCATAGCAGTGTGTTTATAATAAAGTCCTTGCTAAGTTCTTATTAATATCTTATCTGGCTTTTCTTTTTTAGGAACTCAAGAGATTTCAGAACTTTGTAAAATGCTGTCCTCCTTTTGATATCGTCATCGATGGGCTCAATGTTGCCAAAACATTTCCTAAAGCTCGTGAATCTCAAGTTGTAAGTACAAGTTTTATATTGTTATTCCAAATCTCTAGAAATATTTATTGTACTTATTTGTGATCTTTCTTGGGTCTCTAATTCCCCATTTTTCCTTCCTCTAAAAATAAGCTCCTAAAAGTGTCACAGTAACTAACTACTTATCTAAGAGTCACTGTTTTCTTCTCTGGCAAGTAAGTGGCTCTTCTAGACTGGCCAAGAGGGATTAAAAAGTCCATGTAATAAGGGCACCTGGATGGCTCAGTTGGTTAAGCATCTGACTCTTTATTTCAGCTCAGGTCTTGATCTCAGGGTCATGAGTTCAAGTTCTGTGTTGGGCTCCACACTGGGTGTGGAGCCTTCTTAAAAAAAAAGTCCACGTAATAAAGGGCCATTTCAGGCCTTTTTCTTATATAATTTTAGGTAACCTTCTTCTATATCTCTACTCTTTCTTTGGGTACTCTATCATTTCCCTGTGTGTCACATTCCTCTGCTTGAAATTTATCAACATAAACTATCAAGAGATGTTAATATATTTGTTTTTTCCAAACATAGTATGCTCATAAATGAATCTAAGCAGTTCTTTTTTTTATAAGGTAATCATTTGTTCTATCAGTTTATAAATGTCTAGTAGTTTCGAATAGGAATATCATGATTTTTCATAGCACTAGTGAGCAGTTATTTTAATCCCCTTTTTTATAGATTAGAATATTAGAAAAGTGAAGTGAATTTTATAGAGCAAATCCTTAGAAAGCAGTCATAACATCAAAATTCAATTGTGGAGAGCTCCTGGGTTTCAAGCTTATGGTCCTTTTTTTTTTTTTTTTTTAAGATTTATTTATTTATTTGAGACAGAGAGAGCAGGGGGAGGGGCAGAGGGAGAGAATCTCCAGCAGACTCCTCGCTGAGCACAGAGCCCAACGTGGGGCTCAATCCCACAACCCTGAGATCATGACCTGAGCTAGAATCAAGATTCAGATGCTTAACTGACTGAGCGACCCAGGCACCCCCAAGTTTATGGTTCTTTTTTTTTTTTTTTTTTTTTTTTTAAGATTTTATTTATTTATTTGAGAGAGAGAGAATGAGAGAGAGCACATGAGAGGAGGGAGGGTCAGAGGGAGAAGCAGACTCCCTGCCGAGCAGGGAGCCCGATGCTGGACTCGATCCAGGGACTCCAGGATCATGACCTGAGCCGAAGGCAGTCGCTTAACCAACTGAGCCACCCAGGCGCCCAAGTTTATGGTTCTTATCGCTGGCAATTTTTGGCCATTCATCTGTAGTTAATCTGTGTTATTTCTTAAAAATTGCTACCAACTTAAAAACTGTTTCTCAGAGATGCTACTAGTCCAGTTTGACCATTTTTACTCAGAAAAGCTTACAAGTACGCAAAGCACAAGGTTGATTTACAGAAATTTCTTTATATGCCTTTCCTTTATGTTTGTGCCTACATTTTTGCGGTCAGGTATTAGTTTTCAATCCTTTATTTTTAAAAAGCAAAAAAGCAAGTTGAAAATATTTTGTCTTTTAGGTACTTGAAGGGATCTTTGAGGGAGTAATATTGACAAGAACAAAGTCAGAAAATGAAGCGTAAAATTACTATCTCTAATGCATGGTGGAGCTCAGAATCAGAAGGGCTCATTCTAAAAATTCCACCTCTAATCTGTGAGAAGTAAAGTTTTGTATTTGTTTACCTTTTGTTTGACTTTCAGCTTCACACAAAGCACTAAAAATTGACTTGCCAGAAATATATGGCCTAAATTGGGTGAACATTTTTGGGGAAAGTAACACATTGAAAATGATGTCGTGGATATATCCCCTTGCGTAATGTGAGAAAAATTTGCACATTTGGAAAGATCCAAGCAGTTTGGCAAACTAAGACACAAAGAACAAATGATTGACCAGTGAAATCATAGGCACCTGCCACTGCTTTTAGTTTTTACTCTTAAAATAATTTAATGTTAGCAATGCTTTATGTGACAGGTAATTGTTATTACTCAGCTCTTAAAAGCACCATTATCTTGTGGCAGTGCACTGACATTATGTTTGGGAAACCACAGCTCAGACGCTCAGCTTAGAGACACCACCTGAATAAAGAAGGAAAAAATTTCCTTCTCAAGTTTTTTCTCAAATCTCTGAAGCCTAGGGATTTGTGAAAAATAAAGATATATCATATTTCTCATAGACCTCTCTCTTTTTTCTTTTTTTTAAATAGATCTATCATTAGGCCCTTTTGTGGCTTAGTTTTATTCTTTAACACTTCCTAGGTTGTCAGAACTAGCTTCCCAGTTTTTCTGTTAATCTTTTAAATAGGATTTTAGTTTAGAAGTTAAGAATAAGGATTCCAGTGGTACCTGGGTGGTTCAGTCAGTTAAGTGTCCAACTCTTTTTTTTTTTTTTAAGATTTTATATTTATTTATTTGAGAGAGTGAGAGGGATCACAGAGGGAAAGAGAGAGAAGCAGACATGCCACTGAGCAGAGAGCCCAACACGGGGCTCGATCCCAGGACCCTGAGATCATGACCTGAGCCAAAGGCAGATGCCTAACCAACTGAGCCACCCAGGGGCCCCGAGCATCCAACTCTTCATTCCCATTCAGGTCATGATCTCAGGGTTGTGAGATCCAGCCCCGCGCCGGCTCTGTGCTGTTTGTGGGGCCCACCGCTTAGGATTCTCTCTCCCTTTGCCTCTCCACTCCCTCATACCCACCCCCATGCTCGCTTGCTCGCTCTCTCAAAAGAAAAAAAAATAAAAAGAATAAGGATTCTAGAGCCAGACTTTTTGAATCCCAGTCCTGGCTCTTCCACTTTTAAGAGCTTTCATGAGCAAATTATTTAACCTCTCTGTGCCTTAGTTTCCCAGTGTGTAAAATGGAGAGAACAACAGTACTTACCTCACAAAGATGTTGAAAAGAATAAATGAGTTAATAAATGTAAGCATTTGGCACATTGTAAAAACCTAATAGGAGTAACTATTATTGGGATTACTATTCAGATTAATTTCCTAACTGGAACTGTAATTCTTGCTTTCAGTAGACCCTTATTTGGTAGTTTTTTCCTGTCAGGTCATCTATGTCAATAGAGTTAAAATACAAAGCTCTGCCCTAGTATTAGATTCAATCTGGGTAAGGTACTCAAATAATAATTGAGAAGCTAGTATCATCAAAAACTTAAGAAAAATTTTAAATATGATTATTTTAAGAAGTTTTATTTTCTTCTGATTATAAAAGTAATGCATATAGAAAATTTGGAAATTACAATAAAGCATATCATATATAACCACATCATTTAGCAATAACCACTGTCAGTGTTTTATTTCCTTGCAGTGTTTTTCCATTTTCTTACCTAGTTGAGCTTCACCTTTTTAAATAATTGTATATCTACATTTTAATTTACAGTTGTTGAAAGCTCTCAATAAAAATGAAATTATAAAAGAAGTAGAAGAAAACATGTACTTTTTAAAATATTTGAGATGGAAGCACCCTAAAAGTGTATATAAAACCTAGGAGCCCTAATGGGAAGAACAGAGAAATTTACTGTAAACATTGTTAAAAGATAACAACAAAGAGAAAAAATTGTTTACAACACTTGTGACAAAGGGCTAATTTTCTGACACTACCATTGTCTCCTATAAGCCTATAAGAAAAAGAACCATCCAGTAGAAAAGTGATTTGTGATTATAGATATGCAAATAGATTCTCAGAAATGGAAGTCAAAGAGTGTGGATATTTTAAGGTCTCGGTACATATTGCCAAATTACTTTCCAAAATGACTGTAGCAATTTATACTTCTACAAAGCCTCCCAATAGAAGTTTCTTCAAGGTTGCTTATTACATGATTGCTGCAGCTATTTAGCTACATTTGTGCTGTGAATCTGTTATGTGAAAAGAGCAGGACAGGTTCCCCCCCACCCATTTTTTAGATTTAAAACATTTGTTAACAAAATTAAATAGTCCAGAAAGGTAATATTCTTGACTTGTCAAGATATTCTTGATATGTCCTCTTTATTTCCATCTCTTGCTACAGTCACCTATAAGCATGAATAAAGGAAATATTAGGAATCCTATTTCTGTGTGCCTTAATTTTTTCATCTTTGTGTGAAGAAGTTTCTGGATTTTTTTTTTTTTAAAGATTTTATTTATTTATTTGAGAGAGAGAGACTGAGAGAGAGAGCACATGAGAGGGGGGAGGGTCAGAGGGAGAAGCAGACTCCCCGCTGAGCAGGGAGCCCGATGCGGGACTCGATCCAGGGACTCCAGGATCATGACCTGAGCCGAAGGCAGTCGCTTAACCAACTGAGCCACCCAGGCGCCCAGTTTCTGGATTTTTTTAAATGGAATAATGCACAGATCATTTATGTTCTTCGCATGAACTCTCTGTATAATACATTACAAATTCTTGGTCTTTTTCCATTAATGGCCATTTCCATTATTCTCTGTAAGTCAGCTTATAGATAAGAAAAGACCATTTTTACCTTCATTATCTAGAAAGTAGCACCATGATTGTATATCTTGGTCTCAGAGACTACAGCTTAGGAGTGACAGAGGTCAAGGAGCTAAAAATAAGCTTTTGTGAATTTATTTTCTCAATTTTCATATACATCGTTTTGTATTTTAATTTTTTGAAGCCAGATTATTTATGTCTTATATATGATGTCAGCAGAAACTGGCCAGCCACCATGTGGAGTTGAGACTTATTGGTGGTTGTCATTGCTTGGGTATGTGCACATTTAGCCATACGTACATAACATATGTCTGTCCATCCACTTGTCACCTCAATTGAGTTAGTTGTATTGGCAGCTCTACACGGTTTAATATTAACCTTAATCTGAACTTTAAATATTTGCTGAAGGTTTTCTAACAATGCAGTAAAAGATAGTGGTAATTGACACATTTTTCATAGTGAGGTACAGAATTTTTAAGCAAGGAGAGGTTGTTATAACTGATTTTTGCATTTTGAAAAGCTGTCACTCAGGTTGCAAACTTCTGTCTGCCAAAACCTGCCCATAGACATTCAAGTCAGTTA